AATATCACACTCTCTGATCAATATCACACTCTCTGATCAATATCACGCTATCTGATCAATATCACGCTCTCTGATCAATATCACACTCTCTGATCAATATCACACTCTCTGATCAATATCACACTATCTGATCAATATCATACTCTATGATCAATATCACGCTCTCTGATCAATATCACACTCTCTGATCAATATCACACTCTCTGATCAATATCACACTCTCTGATCAATATCACACTCTCTGATCAATATCACACTATCTGATCAATATCATACTCTCTGATCAATATCACACTCTATGATCAATATCACACTCTCTGATCAATATCACGCTCTCTGATCAATATCACGCTCTCTGATCAATATCACACTCTATGATCAATATCACACTCTCTGATCAATATCACGCTCTCTGATCAATATCACGCTCTCTGATCAATATCACGCTCTCTGATCAATATCACACTCTATGATCAATATCACACTCTATGATCAATATCACACTCTCTGATCAATATCACGCTCTATGATCAATATCACGCTCTATGATCAATATCACGCTCTCTGATCAATATCACGCTCTATGATCAATATCACGCTCTATGATCAATATCACGCTCTCTGATCAATATCACGCTCTCTGATCAATATCACACTCTCTGATCAATATCACACTCTCTGATCAATATCACACTCTCTGATCAATATCACACTATCTGATCAATATCACGCTCTCTGATCAATATCACACTCTCTGATCAATATCACGCTCTCTGATCAATATCACGCTCTCTGATCAATATCACACTCTCTGATCAATATCACACTCTCTGATCAATATCACACTCTATGATCAATATCACACTCTATGATCAATATCACACTCTCTGATCAATATCATACTCTCTGATCAATATCATACTCTCTGATCAATATCACACTATCTGATCAATATCACACTCTCTGATCAATATCACACTCTCTGATCAATATCACACTCTCTGATCAATATCACACTCTCTGATCAATATCATACTCTCTGATCAATATCACACTCTCTGATCTATATCACACTCTCTGATCAATATCACACTCTCTGATCAATATCACACTCTATGATCAATATCACACTCTCTGATCAATATCATACTCTCTGATCAATATCATACTCTCTGATCAATATCACACTCTCTGATCTATATCACACTCTCTGATCAATATCATACTCTCTGATCAATATCACACTCTCTGATCTATATCACACTCTCTGATCAATATCATACTCTCTGATCAATATCACACTCTCTGATCAATATCACACTCTCTGATCAATATCACACTCTCTGATCAATATCACACTCTCTGATCAATATCACACTCTCTGATCTATATCACACTCTCTGATCAATATCATACTCTCTGATCAATATCACACTCTCTGATCAATATCACACTCTATGATCAATATCACACTCTCTGATCAATATCACACTCTATGATCAATATCACACTCTCTGATCAATATCACACTCTATGATCAATATCACACTCTCTGATCAATATCACACTCTCTGATCAATATCACACTATCTGATCAATATCACACTCTATGATCAATATCACACTCTCTGATCAATATCACACTCTCTGATCAATATCACACTCTCTGATCACTCTCTCTGATCACACTCTCTGATCACACTCTCTGATCAATATCATACTCTCTGATCAATATCACACTATCTGATCAATATCACACTCTATGATCAATATCACACTCTCTGATCAATATCACACTCTCTGATCAATATCACACTCTCTGATCAATATCATACTCTCTGATCAATATCACACTATCTGATCAATATCACACTCTATGATCAATATCACACTCTCTGATCAATATCACACTCTCTGATCAATATCACACTCTCTGATCAATATCATACTCTCTGATCAATATCACACTCTCTGATCAATATCACACTCTCTGATCAATATCACACTCTCTGATCAATATCACACTCTCTGATCAATATCACACTCTATCTGATCAATATCACACTCTATGATCAATATCATACTCTCTGATCAATATCACGCTCTCTGATCAATATCACACTCTATGATCAATATCATACTCTCTGATCAATATCACACTCTCTGATCAATATCACACTCTATCTGATCAATATCACGCTCTCTGATCAATATCACACTCTCTGATCAATATCACCCTCTCTGATCAATATCACACTATCTGATCAATATCATGCTCTCTGATCAATATCACACTCTATGATCAATATCACACTCTATGATCAATATCATACTCTCTGATCAATATCACACTCTATGATCAATATCACGCTCTCTGATCAATATCACACTCTCTGATCAATATCACACTCTCTGATCAATATCACACTCTATGATCAATATCACACTCTATGATCAATATCATACTCTCTGATCAATATCACACTCTATGATCAATATCACACTCTATGATCAATATCACACTCTCTGATCAATATCACACTCTCTGATCAATATCACACTCTCTGATCAATATCACACTCTATGATCAATATCATACTCTCTGATCAATATCACACTCTATGATCAATATCACACTCTATGATCAATATCACACTCTCTGATCAATATCACACTCTCTGATCAATATCACACTCTCTGATCAATATCACACTCTATGATCAATATCATACTCTCTGATCAATATCACACTCTATGATCAATATCATACTCTATGATCCTGAGTCAGCATTATGAGTCCTGAACCCTGTGATGAGTCACTTCCTGTAATGAGTAACTTCCTGTAATGAGTAACTTCCTGTAATGAGTCACTTCCTGTAATGAGTAACTTCCTGTAATGAGTCACTTCCTGTAATGAGTCACTTCCTGTGATGAGTCACTTCCTGTGTCCTGCAGCTGTTTGTTAACGAGGCCCAGCTAGACTCCTCTAACCTCCTGAGCTCTAACGGGGTGATTCACGGCGTGTCGGCCGTTATGATCATCAACAGGAACCGCTGCGACGACGCCTCCTTCACCAGATCCCCCGTAAGACCTCTCACATCAAACTGCATTATTATTATTATTGTTAATATCTAAACACACATGACTTCCTGTCCTCTGCAGGGGAGCTGCGTGGACTGCCTGTTCCCTCAGGGGAAGATCTGCCCCAACGCCACGCGCCCAGACGTGAGGAATAACACATTTCATCACTTTCAGTTGCAGGAAAGAGATATGTGATGTTAACCGTGATGCACTTCCTGCTTCCTGCAGCCGTCGATGCGCAGCAGGAAGTGCATGTTCACCCGCATGTTCGAGGGCGAGCGGCTGCTGACCATCGGCTGCAGAGCCACCTGCCTGCAGGAGAACAGGGTGAGACATATCAGAAATACTATCAATTATAAATACTATAGATAAATAATTAAAAAGTCATTACAAATATAAAAATAACAAATATTATAAAATAGAAATGATAAAAATGATAAATATAGCACTGTCCCCCCCCTGCTGGCCAGGTGCGGCGCTGCTGCTCCGGGTTCTTCGGGCCTCACTGTGAGTCCTGCCCGGGTCCAGCGGGTCGGTCCTGCTCCTCTAACGGGTTCTGCTCGGACGGAGCCAGCGGCGCCGGAAACTGCAGCTGCAACCCGGGCTTCAGAGGCACCGCCTGCGAGACCTGCAGCGCCGGGAAGTACGGCGTGCACTGCGACCAGGGTACATATATATATATATATACAGATATAAATATATATCTGTATATATACTGAACAAAAATATAAACGCAACACTTTTGTTTTTGCTCCCATTGTTCATGAGATGAACTCAAAGATCTAAAACATTTTCTATAAACACAAAATAACCATTTCTCTCAAATATTGTTCACAAATCTGAAAAAATCTGTGATAGTGAGCACTTCTCCTTTGCCGAGATAATCCATCCCACCTCACAGGTGTGGCATATCAAGATGCTGATTAGACAGCATGATTATTGCACAGGTGTGCCTTAGGCTGGCCACAATAAAAGGCCACTCTGAAACGTGCAGTTTTGCTTTATTGGGGGGGTCTGGGGGGGGTCCGAAAACCAGTCAGTATCTGGTGTGAGGGGTAGGGGTAGGGTTAGGGTTAGGGAATGCTCCGGCATTGGGACAAAATTAACGATCACTCCGGTCATTGTACGTACTTCATCTCACTGGAATATTAACGGTCAGATTGAATACAACATCGACCCAATTTCTCCGGGCAATGACGGGAGAGTTTTGAAAGTGACAAAACACTGTTTTCACACATTTAAAAACACTTAAACAATTGAACAATGTTTACCCAGGATTCAGGCACCTTCCCTGGCTTGTAAAATGTGGTGATGCGCCCTGGAGGTACCATACTATTTAAAACATGTATACCCAGGATTCAATCACTTTTCCTGGCTTGCAAAGTGCTGTGAAGCAGCCTGTTCTCTGGGTGCAGTCTGGGTGTGCATGGAGGGGTTTAGTCCGAGTGAGGAGTGCTCAAGTGTGGGAGGATGTGTAAGGCAGAGGAGGGTAAAAAGTTAAAGTGTGAACCTCCAGCAGGGCAGGTGCTGCTGTGAATAAGGCCGATATGGATGTTGGTGTGCGGACAGTAAAGCACCACAAAATCCACCACCTTTAAGTGTCACCAGGGGCATGAGGTTCTGGAGGGTGTGAACATCTGTGTTTAGTCCGTGGCGGAGTGCTTAAGTCCGGGGATCCGGGGTCTCACGGTGTGCGAGGTTATGGAAGTATGCATGATTTTTGAAATTCTCGAAAAAACGGCTAAGTGCCAACGGAGGAGGGGCTACAAAAAGCTCAAGTCTTCGGCACTTCCGGCGGAAGCCCCGGAGATATTTGCACTCCCCCGTTGCATTTTATAACAGAGAAGGGAATCGAGACCTCCCTTCCTCCATCCAAAAAATTCATTCATCTTTTCCAAGCTACCATCTGCACGAAATCGGAAACCCGGTTTTTGAGAGCACTTAGAAAAAAACGGGCTATTTCACATGATGGGGAAATCATGGAGGAATGCATCCGCTACATGAGCACTTTGGATCGGATACAATTGTTGCCTGGAGGACCCCCAAACATGGTTCTTACCAAACTTTAAGTTTTTGAACTGGCCTCTGGAGGAATTCAAGGGGAGTTGTCACGGAATAATGAGACACTATTTTGAGATACAATTTCTCCATTTTCACCCCTTCCTCTGGTTCTCCCAAAAGATAACTTAGAGTTTTCTGACTCTGGAGGAATGTAAGGAGAGTTGTCAGGGGACTCTATCCGCCTTAAGAGACACTATTTTGGGATAACATTTCTCCATTTTCACTCCTTCCTCTGGTTCTCCCAAAAGATAACAGAGTATTTTCCTGATTTCTCACTGATCAAATGAAAAACGCGACCCGCCATCGGAGGGCCTCCGCCGGCCCGGCCTCGTGCCGGTGCTCTGTCGGTTCCTCCGAACTGCGGGTTCGACTCTGATGGCCGGGAGGGTGTGCTGCGTGGGGGAATTGACGGAAGCGCACCACCAGGAGTGGAACCTGCGGCTTAATTTGACTCAATACGGGCAACCTCATCCAGCCCGGACACGGAAAGGATTGACAGACCATTTTCTAGCTGACACTGCTTCTAATAATACTTTATGATGTGCTGACAGCCAGTCCACCACACAATAAACAAAAACGGCTGTCTGATACCCTGGATGAAAGTACCCTCTCTAAGTGCACTATGTCTCGGATATATCTGATGCCTGGAGACCCCCCCAGCCTGGTTCTTAACTTTAAGTCCAAACTGGTCTCTGGAGGAATGCAAGGGGAGTCGAAAGGGGACTCTTCTCGCTGCTAGTCTTGTCAAAATTGAGGGGTGTGTTTGAGGGGAGGGCCCTGGCTGTTTCGGCAGCCTCCGCTCCTCTCTTCTCTCCCTCCCCGAGACCAGCTCGTGCTCCCGCTGTAAAAGGCAGGTGCGCGGGCACCCACTGCCACTCACTCTGAGCCTGGCTCCCGAGCAGCACGTTCTCCCCGGCAGTCCGCCAGCAGATGAAAAACACCCACCTCTCCGACTCTTCCGAGGGACGAGGGAACCGCGCGGGGGGGGTCTGCTGGAGGCTCCTGCCGGGTGCTCCGTCCTGCGTTTCACCGGGACCCGGCTCCAACACTCGGAACTCTGACTCCATCGCGGTGTGGCGGCCTCGCCCTGGCCGTCCACCGTGCGCCCTCCGGGTACCTGACTCCCCTGCCTCCTCCGGGGGCAGGTGTGAGGGGTTCAATGCCTCCTCCCCCCGCTGCGGCGAATGCCGGAGCAGGATGGAGCGCCCGGAGGTACTGTTGTCCCCATGTTACCATGTTGTCTGGAGGATAGGACAGATGACATACTCTCTACCCGGGTTACAAGTCACTATTTTCGGACCCTTTCTTTGCGTTACCCCTGTTCTATCACTCTTTCCTCCTTTGACCATAAAACGTGTTTCCTGCTGGGGTACTGCCTGGTTCCGGGGCACCCCAAACCCTCTCATGGTCGGGGCACCATGAATTGATGCATCGGACCCAATGTTGCCATCACCAGCCCCGCGTTGGTGCGGAGGTGGGACCATTTAGCCAAGTGGTAACCCAAGTCCTCCCTTGGTCCGTGTACCAGGCATTGAAGCATCAAACCCATTGTTGCAATCACCGGTTACGCTAACACATATAAACGGAGAAACACAACATAATTTAAATACAATTCACTGTGTCTGTTTCAGTAAGGATGTCGTCCGAATGCCCGGTGTGCAGACTCTTCTATCTGGCTTTGAACAAGCACCTTAAGCAGAAACATGCAGTGCGGAACTTGGAGGAAAGAGGCATCATTCTTAAAATGGCTAGTGGCAGAATAAATGTTCGGACCAAACCCTGTCCCATCACAGGGTGTTCGTATGCTGGGAATAAACTGGACCGTCATGTGACTCATGGCCACCCTGAGTTATCCTGAGATGAAGCACATCAGGTCCTGGCAAGGCTGAAGCATAGTGTGGCCCTGCAGTTGCTCCATGACCTCAGAGAGACTAATCCCATCATTGGAATGGCTACATCATTGGATATAGACAATGAGGAGGAATACCCAGTGCACCCTCCACCCTTCTCCCCACATACTGAGTGTGACGAAGAGGACTGCAGGCAGGTGATGCTGGAAAATGTGGCATTGAGGGCTCAGAAGGATGCCCTCATTGATGAGGTGAAGACCCTGCGCTCCAGGCTGAAAAAGGGGCTAAAACCCAGGCAGCAGAGTGCCACTGCTGCTGTGCTTGAGGAAGAGGAAGAAAGTATACAATTTAAGGGCCTGGCAATCTCAAGTACCTCCGGCATAAACACAGCAGCCTCCGGTAGTCAGACCCCTCTCAAGACCCCGGTCAAGACTGTCATACGGTCTCCAGCAGCCTCCGGTAGTGAGACCCCTCTCAAGACCCCGGTCAAGACTGTCATGCGGTCTCCAGCAGCTTCCGGTAGTCAGACCCCTCTCAAGACCCCGGTCAAGACTGTCATGCGGTCTCCAGCAGCCTCCGGTAGTCAGATCCTTCTCAAGACCCCGATCAAGACTGTCATGCGGCCCCCAGCAGCCTCCTGTAATGAGGACTGGCCCTCTCCTCACTGGTCCACTGGGAAGGGACGGGGGAATACCATGCGTGAAATCACATTGCCTCAAAGCATGGAGACGTACATTCAGACATACAGGCATCATTGTGAGGGTGTCGCACCGACAGTAAAACGGAAAGAAAATTGTCTGTCCAAGGTCAGCCGGATAAAGAACTTCCTCGTATTCATGGCCCATGGTGTTAACCGGCTGTCAGACTGGCTGTTCCTAAAAGACACGGAGAGGGTCCGTGGCTGGAGCGAGTATATTGTAAAGTCGGGCCGGGCAGTCACAACATCGCTGTTGTTCCTGAAGAATGTGAACCATTTCCTGAGGTACTTGTCTGAGTCAAAGCTCCGGGGGTGCAGGCTCACCCAGTCTGATATGACCCACATCATCAGAGAGGTGAAAGCCAACATAAACGACTTGAAAAAGTCTGTCACTGTCCACCAGTTCAAGATGAAGAGAAACAAGCTGGATCATCTGCCGAGCCAGGCGGAGCTTCTCGCCGCCATGGCGGCCGCTGAGAAACGCATCCCTGATCTCCTTGACCTGATGGCTTGCAATCCGACCACAATCACGCAGTACCTGCTATATGGCTATCTAACCCTCCATTGGAGCCTCCTGTATGGCCACCGTCCGGGTGTGTACGCAAACATGACCAACACTGAGGTGTTAGAGGCGGACATAAGGGGCACTGCTGAGCGCTACATCATCCATGTGCAGGATCACAAGACTGCCAAGACATTTGGCGAAGCACAGCTGGTGCTTACAGTAAAGGAGTTTAGCTGGGTCATGCGGTGGATGGGGATAAAAGAGGGCTTGTCGGGTCCTCAGAATGAATTCTTCCTTTTCACAACGGGGAAGCACGCCTCCAAGAACCTGAACGCTCACTTGAAGAGGGCTTGGGCTGATGCTGGGCTAGAAACAGCCGTCACCTTCACAATCCTGCGCACTGCCCTGGCTGACAATATCAAGAACCAAGATCCAGAAAGCAGGTCTATTCTCGCCAGGTTTATGTGTCACGACGTAAGCACTGCAGACCGGTTCTACGCGAATACGCCTGGAATAAAGGAGGGATTGAAAATCCGCTCCATGTTCAGGGCGGCAGCAGCAGCAGCATCATCGGAAGGAGTTCTACCGCCGTCAGATACCTCCGAAGAGGACTCAGAGGCGGATAGCAGCGATACCTCTTCTTCAGGGCCGGTTGATACTCCTGATGTGGGGGCAGGGGCCGTGGACTCAGCCTGTTTCCCTCGGTGCACCGTACAAGTTAGACGGCTAATATGGTCATGTGTTTATCATGTTTTTATTATGTTTATTATGCATATTGTGTATACTGTTTTTGTAAAAATAATGTGATAATTAAATAAATAAATAAACATTTTAATAACGTTTAAGGTTCCCAGGGGTTGATACAGTGCCAGGTATCAGACTATTTAAACAGAGTTTACCCAGGATTCAGACACCTTCCCTGGCTTGTAAAATGTGGTGATGCGCCCTGGAGGTATCAGAATATTTAAAACAACTTTTCCCGCCTTTGAAACACTTATTCCTGGGTTTTAGCCTGTCCTTTTGCAAGATATGATTTAACATTGAAGCTCTCCTGGAAATTGACATATTCTGTCCATCTCCAGGAGAGCTTCAATGTTAAATGATATCTTGCAAAATGACAGGCTAAAAATCTCTTCCAAACGTTTAAAAACACTTCCCCCGACAATTTAAACATCATTTCTGGCTTGTAAAGTGCAGTGATAGTATCAGACTATTTAAAGGGTTACCAGGGCGATGAGAACATCCTCCACAGGAGGGTGGGTGGTGCTGTGAATAAGGACGAATATGGATGCCGATGGGCGGACTATAAAGCACCGCAAACTCCACCCCCCCTTTAAGGTTCCCAAGGGCACGAGGTTATTGAGGGTGTGATCATCTGGGTTTAGTCCGTAGGGGAGTGCTTAAGTTCGGGGGCCCGGGGACCCAAGGTGCGCGAGGTTATGGAAGTACGCAGTCAGGGAGAGATGCTGGAGCTGCTTAGTCCGTCATTTGGGGGTCTTGGAGGGGCCACAGAGAGGTGGTTTTCGCGCTCTGTCTCCTGGTAGTGTAAAATAGCCTGTTTGCTCATGTGAGGGAGCAATGCTGGAGCTGCTTAGTCCGTCATTTGGGGCTCTGTGAGATGCTGGAGCTGCTTAGTCCGTCATTTGGGGCTCTTGGAGCGGCCACAGAGAGGTGCTTTTCCCAGTGTATTTCATGGAAGTCTGCCATAGCCTGTTTGCTCATGTAAGGAAAAGGTCTGCCTTATGGACAGAGTTAACATGGGACTTGTCCTTCAAATGTACACATGTCCGCACAATGGAAATGTGATGTCAACTTCCAATGCAAAGTCCCTGCCACCGGCAGGACACATTTGACCAACTGTAAACCAACACTTTGGGGTGCTCTATGCATGTGTCTGAGGGTAAAATAATCATCATTCTGTATATTAATATGTTTGTCAATATCATGGACATTTCCTTTTAAATTGGGGTCCATGAAGCTGACACAAGATACCCGCAGATAAGCACTCATCTCGGACTAAAATCCTCAATGCATAGCAGTTTTAATGGCATTTGTGTTATTCAGTGTTACCAGGGGCACGAACTTCTGACCGGTGTTCCCTCTTGGTTTAGTCCGTGGGGGAGTGCTTAAGTGTGGGTACACAGGTTCGCCTGGTGCACAAGGTTATGGAGGTGGGGGTCTTGCTGGTGCTCAAGTGTCCATATACGTCACCCCATATTCACATAACTTTTACCCGCCTTAAGAGACACTATTTTGGGGTACAATTTATCCATTTTCACCCCTTTTTTCTGGTTCTTCCAAAAGTTAACTTAGACTTTTTCTGACTCTGGAGGAATGTAACGGGAGTTGTCAGGGGACTATATCCGCCTTAAGAGACACTATTTTGGGGTACATTTTTATCCATTTTCACCCTTTTCTCTGGTTCTTCCAAAAGTTAACTTAGACTTTTTCTGACCCATGTGCATCACCCTGGATCTCTGCCTATGTGCCTGTGAAATGCTGCTCTCTCCTTCTGTTCACATCACTTTTACCCAGCTTTCACACATTATTCCTGGGTAATTAAACCAGTTTAATGCACTTTTTAACACTGACATACCCAGGATTCAAGCTTCTTTCCTGGGTTACATAGTGCTGTGAAGCAGCCTGTCCTCTGGGTGGTGGGAGAGCGAGGTGCTGGAAGGAGCTCTCTGTCTGGGTCACAGCCTGCTGCTGGTCTCTCCCCCCCTGTATTCACATAACTTTTACCCAGCTTTCACACACTTATTGCTGGGTAAGAAAGCCATGTGCATGACCCTGGATCTCTGCCTGTGTGAGTGTGGGACCCTGCTTACAGTCCGTTGTTTGGGGCTCTGTCACTTTGGGTAACCGCACCACTGTCAGACGTCTCCTGAGAATGGACGTCCATTCTCTCTAAATAGGGTTAGGTTGGGGAAGAGCGCAGGGCTCCGGAGGAGTTAAAAACCGAGGCTCTGGTTAGGTTAACCCTACCCCTAACCCTACCCCTAATCCTACCCCTCACACCAGATACTGCCTGGTTTTCGGACCCCCCCCAGACCCCCCCAATAAAGCAAAACTGCACGTTTCAGAGTGGCCTTTTATTGTGGCCAGCCTAAGGCACACCTGTGCAATAATCATGCTGTCTAATCAGCATCTTGATATGCCACACCTGTGAGGTGGGATGGATTATCTCGGCAAAGGAGAAGTGCTCACTATCACAGACTTTTTCAGATTTGTGAACAATATTTGAGAGAAATGGTTATTTTGTGTTTATAGAAAATGTTTTAGATCTTTGAGTTCATCTCATGAAAAATGGGAGCAAAAACAAAAGTGTTGCATTTATATTTTTATTCAGTGTATATATATACATATATATATTTATATATATGTGTGTGTGTGTGTTTGTGTGTGTGTGCGCGCGTGTGTGTGCGTGCGTGTGTTTGTGTGCGTGCGTGTGCATGTGTGTGCGTGCGTGTGTGTGTGTCTGTGCGTGCGTGTGCATGTGTGTGTGCGTGCGTGTGTGTGCGTGTGTGTGCAGAGTGTGTGTGTGTGCATGGCCGCTGCTCTGAGGGTCTGCAGGGAGACGGCAGCTGTGAGTGTGACGTCGGCTGGAGAGGAGTCCTCTGTGACCAGAGTGAGACTTTATTGTTACTCTTATAATTTCTCATTGTTTTATAATTTCATTACAATAATTGTAATTATTTTCTCATGATTCGAAATGCTATGTATTTCAGAGATAGAGTCGTCAGCTGAGGATCTGTGTGGAGCCCTGAAGTGTCACACCAGCGCCAAGTAAGGGACATATAAAAGTGATTTCATATCAAAAGACTGATAAATAAATTCCTTATCTTCCTCAGCTGTGTGATCAGATCCTCGTCGCCTCAGTGCCTCTGCGCTGCCGGATTCACGGGGAACGGCACTTCCTGTTCAGGTGACAGGAAACAGGAAACAGTTTCTTCTTCTTCTGCAGTTTAAATTGAAGCTGATGAATATAAACCTGTATGTGTGTGTGTGTGTGTGTCTGTGCGTGTGTGTGTGCGTGTGTGTGTGCAGCGGTGGATGTGTGTGTGCAGGGTAACGGCGGCTGCAGTGTGTTGGCAGTGTGTAAGCGCACGCTGCCGGGCCAACGGGAGTGTGTGTGCACGGCCGGACACACCGGGGACGGGCTCGTGTGTGTCGGTAAATATTTTATATATTTTTTTGTTTATTATTTCTTTCATTATTATTATTATAACTGAAAATATTATTTTAGATTTTTTTCAATATTATTATTATTATTTTGGCATGGTGCGTTCGAGTGCTGTAGGATTTCTTGTGTTTCCCTCAGAAATAAACCCGTGCCTGCAGGGGAACGGAGGCTGTCACTCCGACGCAGAATGCTTCCACGCCGGGCCCAACAAGGTCCGACTCAATGCCACTATTACATGGTTACAATTATATAACATGTATTTAAGTTTTATATTATTATTATTGTTATTATTTTTATTTGTTTTGTTGTTTTTCTCTCCAGACTTCCTGTGTCTGCAGTAAAGGTTTCAAAGGGGACGGACAAACCTGTGAGATGATCAACCTGTGCAAAAAGGTAACGGTGGTGCGTTCAGGTGCTCATAATGTTCTGTGTTTCAGAGGAACGGGGGCTGCCACCAGTCCGTGGTGCGTTCAGGTGCTCATAATGTTCTGTGTTTCAGAGGAATGGGGGGCTGCCACCAGTCCGTGGTGCGTTCAGGTGTTCATAATGTTCTGTGTTTCAGAGGAACGGGGGCTGCCACCAGTCCGTGGTACGTTCAGGTGCTCATAATGTTCTGTGTTTCAGAGGATCGGGGGCTGCCACCAGTCCGTGGTGCGTTCAGGTGCTCATAATGTTCTGTGTTTCAGAGGAACGGGGGCTGCCACCAGTCCGTGGTGCGTTCAGGTGTTCATAATGTTCTGTGTTTCAGAGGAACGGGGGCTGCCACCAGTCCGTGGTACGTTCAGGTGCTCATAATGTTCTGTGTTTCAGAGGATCGGGGGCTGCCACCAGTCCGTGGTGCGTTCAGGTGCTCATAATGTTCTGTGTTTCAGAGGAACGGGGGCTGCCACCAGTCCGTGGTACGTTCAGGTGCTCATAATGTTCTGTGTTTCAGAGGATCGGGGGCTGCCACCAGTCCGTGGTGCGTTCAGGTGCTCATAATGTTCTGTGTTTCAGAGGAACGGGGGCTGCCACCAGTCCGTGGTGCGTTGAGGTGTTCATAATGTTCTGTGTTTCAGAGGAACGGGGGCTGCCACCAGTCCGTGGTGCGTTCAGGTGTTCATAATGTTCTGTGTTTCAGAGGAACGGGGGCTGCCACCAGTCCGTGGTGCGTTCAGGTGTTCATAATATTCTGTGTTTCAGAGGAACGGGGGCTGCCACCAGTCCGTGGTGCATTCAGGTGTTCATAATGTTCTGTGTTTCAGAGGAACGGGGGCTGCCACCAGTCCGTGGTGCGTTCAGGTGCTCATAATGTTCTGTGTTTCAGAGGAACGGGGGCTGCCACCAGTCCGTGGTGCGTTCAGGTGCTCATAATGTTCTGTGTTTCAGAGGAACGGGGGCTGCCACCAGTCCGTGGTGCGTTCAAGTGCTCATAATGTTCTTTGTTTCAGAGGAACGGGGGCTGCCACCAGTCCGTGGTGCGTTCAGGTGTTCATCATGTTCTGTGTTTCAGAGGAACGGGGGCTGGCCCCAGTCCGTGGTGCGGTCAGGTGTTCATCATGTTCTGTGTTTCAGAGGAACGGGGGCTGCCACCAGTCCGTGGTGCGTTCAGGTACTCATAATGTTCTGTGTTTCAGAGGAACGGGGGCTGCCACCAGTCCGTGGTGCGTTCAGGTGCTCATAATGTTCTGTGTTTCAGAGGAACGGGGGCTGCCACCAGTCCGTGGTGCGTTCAAGTGCTCATAATGTTCTTTGTTTCAGAGGAACGGGGGCTGCCACCAGTCCGTGGTGCGTTCAGGTGTTCATCATGTTCTGTGTTTCAGAGGAACGGGGGCTGGCCCCAGTCCGTGGTGCGGTCAGGTTTTCATCATGTTCTGTGTTTCAGAGGAACGGGGGCTGCCACCAGTCCGTGGTGCGTTCAGGTGCTCATAATGTTCTGTGTTTCAGAGGAACGGGGGCTGCCACCAGTCGGCTCGCTGCAACACGACGGGCCCAGGGGTCCGAAGCTGCTCCTGCTACAACAACTTTGTTGGGGACGGGATCAGCTGCAGGGGCACGGTTGCCCGGGTACAAAATATCATTATATATATATTAATGTATATTATATATATGTATATACGTGTTAATAACAACAGGAAGTGTCTCTCAGGAGCTGCTGGCCAGGAAGCTGAGAGACTTCTACCTGAGTCTGATGGTGAGGGCTGGTGATTCACATTAAATATATATAATATGAATTAGGGCTGTGCGATTATGGCAAAAATCATAATCACGATTATTTGGTCAATAATTGATATCACGATTATTTTGACGATTATTCATTGACCATTTATTGAACTTTAAAACAAATAATATTTTACCAATAAAGAAGATCAATAAATGTGTTGGAGCGCACTTCCAAAACCATACTAAACATATATTATTAATATGATAAATAAAAATAAATTAGACCAAAATAAATTAAATCAAATATGTTGCAGTGCACTGTCAACCTACTGAAAACTCAACATTTTGGTAAAACATATTCAACATATTCCACTCAGTTAAACGTTGAAGGCTGGCCAACCGTCATGGTCCAGAAGTAACAGGAAATAAATGTTGAACTACAATTTAAGACCAAATAAAAATGTTTAGGCCACCATGGCAAATGCTGGTAGGGCTGCTGTCATCTCTTAAAGATTGTTCGCAAGAAACACCAGCCTGTTTACATGGTCTGGTTTCAGAGATGAGCGCAGGCAGGTGACAATATTGCCACCTGTACTGAAGACCCTCTCTGAAGAGGAACTTGTGGCAGTGCTGCCACATATGACACAGGAACAAAGAAAAGACTCTGAACCCTTTCTTTGCCATTATATAAAAATAGTGTTGCTACAAAAGTATAAATTAGGCTTCCTAATAAGACAACTCAGATCTGAAGCTACACAGTAATCTGCTGCAGCAACAGTGCAATAAAAAAGACAACATTAATAGAATCAAACCCATTTTTTGTTGCATTTTATTAGAGTATAAAAAGAAATGCCTTTAAAATAGGATGCAAGCAACACTAGTTTCTGAACTGATAGACTATAATCAATTTAAACAGAACAGATCTTAATGTTTGCATTCTTATACCATTTTGTACAATAATTATCATGAATACATTCAAACAAACTAAAACTTACAGCAGATTAATAACGGTATCCAAATTGAGTTTTTATTATATCAAAAACCTGTTGAAATGCTTCTGTTATTTTTACTGTCCCACAAAAGCGGGTCGCAGCCTCCAGGAAAGCTTCTTTCACAACTTTGCCGTCTTCGAAAGACTTCATGTGTTTCGCAAGAACACTGACTTTCAGGCCCCTCCCCTTTTGGAGCGTAGGGCAGAATTAGGAGGGAGTTCCGTCTCGTAGCGTTTGTGCACTGTTTTGAAATGCCGCTCCTAAACTACCCTTCTTCGATAAAGCCACGCTCGCATTGCAGATGAGACAGATGGACTTTGAATTGGAATATATACACAAATAATCATCCTCCCACTTGGAGTGAAAATTATATATTTTGGGCTTTTTTGCTTCTGCCATAATTGCGGTCTTGTGTGTGTGCGGACTGTCACTCCTGTTGACCATCCATGCTGTTGACACGACAACGTCAGCGAACTAGTGCACTGCTCACCAGCCACGCCCGGACACATGGGGTGAGGCCAGCCAATCACAAAGCTTTGATGCGTTCAAGTGCATTATTCTGGCACGGGAACATTATGTTATAGGACATTAACGATAAAACAGAATATTGTTGTTCTATTTTTAGACACATCTCGCGATCGACTGGGAATCTCCCCGCGACCCTTTTTTTTAACTAGTTGCTGCTCTTGTTCTGACATCTTCGCTTGCGCTGAACACTCACAACACATGTCACTCCCACGTGGCCGAGTGGGCTTTTAGGGAGCGGCGAAAGCGCACCCAGCAAAATAATCGTATTTTGTCAATTATGCTGTTTTCATAATCGTCGCAAGCCATAATCGTAATCGCGATTAAAATACGATTAATTGCACAGCCCTAATATGAATATGAATATATTAATAATATAACCCTGTTCCAGCTGACGGACATCCCTCTGAAGGGCCGCGGCCCGTTCACCGTGTTCGTTCCCAACAAAGAGGCGAACGCCGTGCTGAGAGCTGCCGGAGACAAGGTCAGTGTGTCTTACTTTACTGAATGACCCTGAAGGCATCGTTCACAGTTTTGTTATTGTTAGAAAAATCTCCCTGGTCCCCGGCTCAAGCTTCAGCCTCAGGATCCATGTATCTGTGATCGTCTCCAGAATGGAAGGAGTCATCACATACAGAGCATCTACTAGTTCCTGAACAGTGTCCTTCACATGCTGATATCAAGAGAGGGAGTTACACAGTCACAAGATGGAGGAATAGAAAGCAGTATTCAATGTTTACTTCAGATTAGCTCCACGTCAGAAATGAGCATGCTTGATGTCTCTCTCCATAGAGGCTGAATCATCATGTTAATCACATAGCTATCATCTGCCTCAAACAGTCCTGATGCTCTTCTAGGTAATCACACATCCTGTTCACAGCTACAGTTGATACCTTTGTTAGCATGCTACTCTCAGGTTGGAGGAGGACATTCAGGATTTTCAGTTATTGTACTGTCTATCCCCCGACAGTATGGGTCAAATCAAGATGGACGGAAACAACTCCTAGTTTTGATGATTTATTCAAATCCAAATAGTTTGTTAACCTTAGAAGAAAAAGGACAACAACAATACAACAATTAGGATCACACATATCACACATTAAATCACATTCAATAGAATAATCACACTTACTAGTGGCCTCTCCTAATTTCTCAATCTCAATGACATTAATTTATTTATCCCCTCTATTTATAACACATCAATAAACCCCGCGAATCTCCACCCAGATTTAAAGTACAGCTAGGGCATGTCCTCACCGTAACATCTCGGACTACTCCTTTCTCGTCGGGGGTCACGCCCTCAATCCGACCTAACCTGAACTGACCTCTCAGGGCATTCTGATCGGCCAACCAAACCAGGTCTCCTACCGCCACGTTTCGCACACTTCGATGCCATTTAGGTCGGATAAACAGGTTCGGCCCAGCTAGCTGGCTCCACTGCCTCCAAAACCTGTCCACTTCGCCCTGGATGACCCTCAGTCGCTTGTACGAGTAGGTTGAAAACTCAAACCCTTGCAAGTCTCCTCGGGGCCCCGCTCGACCTAGCAGCAGGGAATTGGGGGTGATGACCTGCAGGACATCCTCCTGGACTTGGCGTCGTTCGGCATCTCGTTAGCGAGATTAGCCGCCAGGTAGAGCAGGGTCTGGAATTCCAGTCCCGTGAGGCAGTCGCCTCCCCCGACGTTCCCCAACGCCTTCTTCACTATGCGGATGGCTGCTTCTGCTGCACTATTCCGATGAGGCGAATCGGCCGGGTGGAGAATCCAGGCCCACTCTGTGCCATTCCTTGCAGCCTTCCCCACGACTTCCTGCTGGTCCAATCGACTCAATAAGTCATGCAGGTCCTTTAAGGCATGTCTGGCCCCAACAACATGTGCCCCCTGGTCAGACCACACCTTCTTTGGATGACCTCTCAGTGACGTAAACCGCTGATAAGTCCCCAGGAAGCCCTCCGTGGACAGGTCCTCCACGATGTCTGCGTGCATAGACCGTGATGCCATGCAGCAGAACACCACGCCCCAGACCTTCAGCTTGGTCCTCCTTTTTGCCATGTCCCTCACCGTGTAGGGGCCAAACAGGTCTGCGGTGGTGTACTCAAAGGGTGTGGCAGGCTTTGTTCGCTCGGGGGGGAGGTCTCCCATCTTCTGCTGGCACATCTTTGCCCCCGCCTTGCGACAAGTGATGCAGACATCGACAATCCACTTGGCCACCCTCCGGCCCTGCACCACCCACGCCTTTGATCTCATCCTCAGAAGAGTACCAGCGAGTCCTTCATGATTTCACCAGGTTCACAACAGCAATGCTCCGAAACTTTCCTTCCGGTCTTCTCTCTGTCAAGACTGAAGCTTCTTCCCTTTCGGAGGTTTCTGGGGAACCGCCAACCTTAACTAGGGACTCCTCAGCCTCTGCGTCCTTTCCACTGATGTCGTCATGGATAGGGGTTTTGCTTGATTGGGCTCTGGTGAGTATTGCCGAGAATGCCTTTCTTTGAAGCTTGCCCACACTCTCTCTGGTACCAGTTGCCATCTCCGCGGCCGACTTCATGAGCCATTCTTCTAGCGGCCTCATCAGGAACTCTGATCCCCTCTGCCACTCTGAGCCCTCTCCCGGGTCTTCAGGAGTTGCTCCTCTTGTTACAAGGTCGGCGATGTTAAGTGGCCCTGGGATCCACCACCAGTCAGTTACTGGTCCGGCCTTCTGGATCTCGCCGACCCTGTTTGCAAAGAAAGTCTGATACCCGTAGCTCTCTCGCTGGATGGCTCCCAGGACCGTCTGACTGTCAACAAAGTGGAACCAGCGCTCCACCTCCAACCGTCCGTGCTTCTGCAAATACCCTTTTAACCGAGCTGCAAAGACCGCACCGCACATCTCAGCTTTGACTACGTCACCCTTTTGGTCGAGAGGTTGGCCTTGGCCTTGGCCTTTGACTCCACCAACCTGACCTCGACCCCTTGCTTTGACTCCTATCTCAGGTACATCACGGCACCGTATGCGTCATCGCTCCCGTCTGAAAACGTGACCCCCACGGTTTGCCTTTCCACCCGGATGGCGTGAGACTCCTGTGGAATTTGACCTTACTCAGCCTCACATAGTCCTCAAACAGCTTGATAGCATCTTCTCGGAGGTTCCCTGAGAGTGGGCTGTCCCAAGTCTCCTTTGTCAATCTTCCTCTCTCTGCCTCTTGGAAGGCCCTTCTGACGAGGATAGTCCCCTTCTGCTTTGCAGGCGTAACCAGGCCAATTGGATCATAGAGTCCACTAACTTGACTAAGTAGCTCCCTTCTAGTCAAAGGGTCAGGCGTTTCTGGTCTTACCTCCTCTTCACGAAGATTCAGTCCCACTCTCATCTTTTTCTTCTTTCTTGAGAAGTTGATCAAGGTCATCATGTAAAGTTGATCTTTGTCCACATGACACCCAATCCCCAGAGCCTTGTTGTCCTCGTCGCTTAACTGGTTCGGGAGTACCAGTGTCTTGACCCCTGGCTCTGCTACTGCTCCAGCTTGGACCTGCTCCGCAGTCCTCTGCCTCCCACTTTGGCCTGATCTGACCCATGGTTTGAGGGAGAAGCCTCCGGCGCTCAGGATCTCTTCTACCCCCTCTGTGATTTCCTCCAGTCTCTTTTGGTCATTGTGGGACGTTAAGATATCATCCACATAACTGTCCTCCTCCAGGACCATACGTTCTTCCACCATGTGCGAGAACCTGGGCAGCCGAGCAGTCTCCCTCATCGCCAACTGTGCGATGCACCCAGCGGGTTGGTCGCCAATATTTACCCTGGTGATGGCGTACTCATCGATGTCCTCTTCTGGGGTGTCTCTCCAGAGGAACCTGTGCAGGTGGACTTCGCGCTCTTTTAGCCAGACTGAGTTGCACATCTTTCGGATGTCTCTGCATGCTCTCCCGCCCTGAATCGGAGTAAGACCGATCTGATGGGGTTCAGCACATCTGGCCCCTTAAGCAGAAGGTCGTTCATGCTGACCCTCCTAAACTGTTGACTGCTGTTCCAGACCAGTCTCACTGGTGTCGTCACTGAGTGGGGGTTCGGCGCGACCATGTGCCTCACGTACCACACTGGTCCTCTCCAGCCGTCTATCATCTCCGTGGTGAGTTTTACCGCCGTGCCTCTCTCCACCATCTCGTAAATCTGACCTTTGTAGGTGGACTGCCACTCAGTTTCCTTCCTGAGCTGCTTCTCTGTTTTCAGGAAGGTGGCCTCCACTCCTCTTCTGTTGTTTGGAAGTGAGGCTGGGTCCTTGTAAGATGCAGATCCATGGGTAAGATGCGTCCCAGTGTGGAGTCAGGCAGTGTTCATCTTTGGCCATGTAGGACAGACCCTCTTTAATCACTTCCAGCTCCCTTTCTTCTGCCAGGGTAATTTCCTTTCCTCCTGGCTGGCATGTCCCGCAGCGACACCCACCACACCTGGGTTCACAGGCTGCACCGATGCTGTCCCACTTCCACCACTCGAGAACATCTCTCCTTGTTGCCCGTTGTATTCCTGCTCTCTACCTTTACTTCCTGAGTCAGACTCTTGGTCTCTTCTTCCCTCAGGATCTCAGGACTCTCGACTACTTCTCTGTACCCCACTGCAGCTGTCCTCATCGAGCGAGCAAAGTGCGTCTCGGACTGGTGCACAGCCACTTTTACATCCTCGAACAGACTGGGATGTGCTCTGGCCACGGTTTTACCCAGTGGGCCCTCCCATAAGACGAGGTCTCCAACTATCCTCAGTCTTTGTGGAGCGAGTCTCCCCTCTCTGTGACTGATGAGAAGCTCGACATGGTCTGGTCTCTTCAGTTCCTCCGTTGCAACCTCTTTAGCTGTTCAGGTCTGACGCTCCGATGCACTTTAGCGATCTCCTCCAGGCCATAACAAACCAGCTCGGGAGCCCTCACAGTACCTTTGAGGGTCTTGACTCTTACTCGCAGGAGGTACCTCTTCGTCTTGACTGTCACGGTTATTCCTCCAACTCCATGCACGACCAGAGTGACTTCTTCTCTGCTCAGATCGAGTGGCCTGTGTTCGTCGTCCATAACATACGCCTGCCCATACCATAACCCCACCACCACCATGGGCCACTCGATTCACAACATTACCCTACCCCTAACCCTACCCCTACCCCTCACACCAGATACTGACTGGTTTTTGGACCCCCCCAGACCCCCCCAATAAAGCAAAACTGCACGTTTCAGAGTGGCCTTTTATTGTGGCCAGCCTAAGGCACACCTGTGCAATAATCATGCTGTCTAATCAGCATCTTGATATGCCACACCTGTGAGGTGGGATGGATTATCTCGGCAAAGGAGAAGTGCTCACTATCACAGATTCTTTCAGATTTGTGAACAATATTTGAGAGAAATTGTTATTTTGTGTTTATAGAAAATGTTTTAGATCTTTGAGTTCAACAACAAAAGTGTTGCGTTTATATTTTTGTTCAGTGTAGTTAGCTTTATTTGCTGGCAACCTTCAGTCTGCTGGCTAGCTACTGCTTCATTTTCGCTATGCTACCGCTAGCTTCTTTGGCTAGATAGCGCTGAAAAATTGTCCATGTTACTCACCTGATCCGATCACGTTAGCTCCGCTAGCTTTGCTAGCCTCGGGCCTTCACTTTCCGCCGACCGTTGCGACCACAGGGTTTCCTTGTCGTCCGGTCGTCAGCTCGACTCACGGACCGGCGTTCCTCGGTGCTTCGCGAGCTCCGGTAGCTTCGCCAGCTTCGTTAGCTCTGCTCCGCTAGCTTCAAGTGTCCTTGCTAGCTTTGCTAGCCTTGGGCCTTCACTTCCCGCCGCTCGTTGCGACCACGGGCTATCCTGCTCGTCCGGTCGTGACTGTAGTCTACCTTCCTAGCTGTCTCTCGCCATCGGTTGAAACCTTTATCCCTCCCGATGCAGTTAGTTAACAACTGTACTGTCTATCCCCCGACAGTATGGGTGAAATCAAGATGGACGGAAACAACTCCTAGTTTTGATTATTTAATCAAATCCAAATAGGTTGTTAACCTTAGAAGAAGAAAAAGGACAACAATACAACAATTAGGATCACACATATCCCATACACATTAAATCACATTCAATATAATAATCACACTTACTAGTGGCCTCTCCTGATTCCTCAATCTCAATGACTTTAATTTATTTATCCCCTCTATTTATAACACATCAATAAACCCCGCGAATCTCCACCCAGATTTAAAGTCACACTCACATAAACTGAACCCCGTTAATTGAACCCTCATACACCCAGCACAAACCATGAGTTTACAGCACAGTTATTGTTATTGTTTTATCGTTGTTGTTTTCTTGCTGTTTCCTGCAGAAGCGTGCGATGACAGGCCCAGCGCACCGCGAGCTGTTAGCCTCAGTGCTGCGCAGCCACATCGTGATGTGTCACACGCTGCTGCCCGCCGACCTCGCCCGACCCCGAAACCTCACCTCGCTGTCGGGCACCGTGATGACCACCCGCAGCCAGGAGGTGACCAATCACAGAGCAGCCTGGATCTATGGAGCCATAACAGATTCATCATATCACTTGAACTCTAGTAGCCCTTACAAAAACTTGATTAGAATCCTTATTTAAAATAACCCAATCAGAGAGCAGAGTCTGGGCAAGGGGCGGGGCTAACACTAACAATCGATCGATCAAGTAGTCGTGAAAAATCTGTTTCTATGATCAGTTTCTATGAAGGTATTCTCACTTTCTAAAATGTGAACATGAATGAGAAATGCCTTCATTATAATCCCTTACCCAATCAGCTAGCTAATGCTAACGCTAGCGGCTCCTTTACTGACCATAATATTGGAAATCCTTACCTTTTTATTCTTGGAGAAATCAAACCCTGGTGACCGACTTTTTTTTCCGATGAACATATTTTTACTTTAGTGACCCTCTGATGAACATTAACATAATATGTATGCATTAATTATAACCCCAAATCAACCAGATAGACTGGAAGACCTCGGGACGTTTGAGGAATGAATGCTAACGTCCTCTATTGGTACTTTCAGGGCAGCATCTTCATCAACGATGCTAACGTGACGTACAGTAACGGCGTCAGTGTGAACGGGATCTTCCACGAGATCAGCAAGTTCCTGGTGTCTCCCATCCCGGTCGAGAATCTTCCCACCACTCTGGTCAGAACGTCAAACGGATGAAATGTATTTTTATTTTGTGGGATTCATTTCCTGTAAACTCACATTCTGGATGTTTCTGTGACGCAGCTGAACCTGACGGACGTAGCCGAGCATCATGGGTATAAAACCTTCTTCAAACTGCTGCAGGTGAGAAAATAACACGATGTCTAATGCTGGTGTTGATATCCTGTTGAGTCCTTCAGCTCTCATCTCTAAAGTCAGATAATGAATGCATGATTCTCCTGGTTTCAGGACTCCGGGCTGATGGACCTGCTTCAGGATCACAACTTTCAGCCGGTGACGCTCTTCATGCCTTCAGACAACGTCATGGCCGCCCTGCCGAAGGAGCAGAGGGACTTCCTGTTTCACCCAGACAACCGGGCCCAGCTGACTGAGTACCTGAAGTACCACATCCTGCAGGGCCGGAAGGTGAGCTAGAGCTAACTATACCCAAGGTACCAAGTCCATAAGGTGAGCCAGAACTAACTATACCCAAGGTACTAAGTCCAGAAGGTGAGCCAGAGCTAACTATACCCAAGGTACCAAGTCCATAAGGTGAGCCAGAACTAACTATACCCAAGGTACCAAGTCCAGAAGGTGAGCTAGAGCTAACTATACCCAAGGTACCAAGTCCATAAGGTGAGCCAGAACTAACAATACCCAAGGTACTAAGTCCAGAAGGTGAGCCAGAGCTAACTATACCCAAGGTACCAAGTCCAGAAGGTGAGCCAGAACTAACTATACCCAAAGTACCAAGTCCAGAAGGTGAGCCAGAGCTAACTATACCCAAGGTACTAAGTCCAGAAGGTGAGCCAGAGCTAACTATACCCAAGGTACTAAGTCCAGAAGGTGAGCCAGAACTAACTATACCCAAAGTACCAAGTCCAGAAGGTGAGCCAGAGCTAACTATACCCAAGGTACTAAGTCCAGAAGGTGAGCCAGAGCTAACTATACCCAAGGTACCAAGTCCAGAAGGTGAGCCAGAACTAACTAAACCCAAGGTACCAAGTCCAGAAGGTGAGCCAGAACTAACTATACCCAAGGTACCAAGTCCATAAGGTGAGCCTGAGCTAACTATACCCAAGGTACCAAGTCCAGAAGGTGAGCCAGAGCTAACTATACCCAAGGTACCAAGTCCAGAAGGTGAGCCAGAACTAACTAAACCCAAAGTACCAAGTCCAGAAGGTGAGCCAGAGCTAACTATACCCAAGGTACTAAGTCCAGAAGGTGAGCCAGAGCTAACTATACCCAAGGTACCAAGTCCAGAAGGTGAGCCAGAACTAACTATACCCAAGGTACTAAGTCCAGAAGGTGAGCCAGAGCTAACTATACCCAAGGTACCAAGTCCATAAGGTGAGCCAGAACTAACTATACCCAAGGTACCAAGTCCAGAAGGTGAGCCAGAGCTAACTATACCCAAGGTACCAAGTCCATAAGGTGAGCCAGAACTAACTATACCCAAGGTACCAAGTCCAGAAGGTGAGCCAGAGCTAACTATACCCAAGGTACCAAGTCCAGAAGGTGAGCCAGAGCTAACTATACCCAAGGTACCAAGTCCATAAGGTGAGCCAGAACTAACTATACCCAAGGTACCAAGTCCAGAAGGTGAGCCAGAGCTAACTATACCCAAGGTACCAAGTCCAGAAGGTGAGCCAGAACTAACTAAACCCAAGGTACCAAGTCCAGAAGGTGAGCCAGAACTAACTATACCCAAAGTACCAAGTCCAGAAGGTGAGCCAGAACTAACTAAACCCAAGGTACCAAGTCCAGAAGGTGAGCCAGAACTAACGAAACCCAAGGTACCAAGTCCAGAAGGTGAGCCAGAACTAACTATACCCAAGGTACCAAGTCCAGAAGGTGAGCCAGAACTAACTAAACCCAAGGTACCAAGTCCAGAAGGTGAGCCAGAACTAACTAAACCCAAAGTACCAAGTCCAGAAGGTGAGCCAGAACTAACTAAACCCAAGGTACCAAGTCCATAAGGTGAGCCAGAACTAACGAAACCCAAGGTACCAAGTCCATAAGGTGAGCCAGAACTAACTAAACCTGAGGTACTAAGTCCAGAAGGTGAGCCAGAACTAACTAAACCTGAGGTACTAAGTACAGAAGGTGAGCCAGAACTAACTAAACCCAAGTAACTAAGTCCCAGAAGGTGAGCCAGAACTAACTATACCCAAGGTACCAAGTCCAGAAGGTGAGCCAGAACTAACTATACCCAAGGTACTAAGTCCAGAAGGTGAGCCAGAACTAACTAAACCTGAGGTTCTAAGTCCAGAAGGTGAGCCAGAACTAACTAAACCTCAGGGACTAAGTCCAGAAGGTGAGCCAGAACTAACTAAACCTGAGGTACTAAGTCCAGAAGGTGAGCCGGAACTAACTAAACCTCAGGGACTAAGTCCAGAAGGTGAGCCAGAACTAACTAAACCTGAGATACTAAGTCCAGAAGGTGAGCCAGAACTAACTAAACCTGAGGGACTAAGTCCAGAAGGTTAGCCAGAACTAACTAAACCTGAGGTACTAAGTCCAGAAGGTGAGCCAGAACTAACTAAACCTGAGGGACTAAGTCCAGAAGGTGAGCCAGAACTAACTAAACCTGAGGGACTAAGTCCAGATGGTGAGCCAGAACTAACTAAACCTCAGGGACTGGAAGGTGAACAAGAACTCTAAATAAAGCATGTTTCCCCCCAGGTGTATGCTGAGGGTCTGATCCACCAGGAGGGGGTCCGGACTCTGCAGGGTTCCCCACTGTCCTTCACCTGCGGGGGGGCGGACGCCATGGTGAGTACAGCAGCAGGTAGTAAGGTGTAGAAGAAGAGGAAAGCAGAGAGAACTCTCCAGCTCATTTCATCTGCTGCCATCAGGGCGTAGATGTGCTCTATCTGCTCTCAAGACCAATCGCTTTTCATTCATCCCCTCTGCACTCAAACTTTAAAATCCTTGATAGGTTATTTCATTTGATTATTGATTTACTTACTTATTGTGATGCTATGAACTATTTTTGGTGTAAATTGGAAAGATCCACATCCAGGGGCGTTTGAGTGTTTTCTTCCTGTCTGTGTACATCAGGGGTTCCCAACCTTTATTGTGCCAATACAAAAAAATAGCGGACCGGTTGTCAATTTTCACTGATTTTAATATTTACTCACATGCAGCAGCAACAGAGGCTAATTGTATGTAACAGCCTGAACAAATACTAGAACAATATGCATCCAAAACATATTAACAACGTTTAAAAAAGAACCGGTGTCGTTTTTTGGTTTTTCGGATAACGAAAACAAAAAAAACCGACGTTATTCATTTTTAAACCAAAATGGGAAAACAGATAAATCAACGTTTTGGTTTTGTTTGTATGATTTACGGATAATCCAGTGATGGGAAAACGAGGAGAAGGCGCATTATGAAGGAGGTGTGTGTGGTGTGTGTGTGTGTGTGTGTGTGTGTTGTGTGTGTGTGTGTGTGTGTGTGTGTGTGTGTGTGTGGTGTGTGTGTGTGTGTGTGTGTGTGTGTGTGTGTCTGTGTGTGTGTGTGTGTGGTGT